GAGAGAGCCAGGGGAGGGCAACTCTCCACAGCAGGGTGGTGGCCCAACTCCTGTCACTGATTAGCTGGGTGACCTTTAGTGATCCTTCATAAGCTCCTCTGTGCTCCTCCTTTCCTAGTTGGTAAAATAAAGGATCAGATCAGTGATTCTCAACCAGGTTGGGCCAAGGGGGGGTGGGAGGGACAGGGAAGTACACTCACTAAGAAGGGTGGGATAAAAGAAATCTGTGTAGACAGTTGTTCAACATTATAATTTTATATTTGGAATATTACAAAATAATATTTTCATAATTTAAACGGAAAATAAAGCTTGACTAACATTCTTAGGTCACAATCTTTCTCAAAGGAAGGACAAAGACACCCCTCTCTGGTCCAGGGAGGCATATCAGAATTTCCAGTGTATCTGAGGTTTTTAAGTATGAGTATCAAAAATGAATACGGATTAGGGGCGGGCCCCGTGGCACAAGCGGTTAAGTGCGCGCGCTCCACTGTGGCGGTCCGATGTTCGCAGGTTCGGATCCTGGGCACAGACCGACGCACTGCTTGTCAAGTCATGCTGTGGCGGCGCCCCATATAAGGTAGAAGAAGATGGGCATGGATGTTAGCTCAAGGCCAGTCTTCCTCAGCAAAAAAGAGGAGGACTGACATCAGATGTTAGCTCAGGGCTGATCTTCCTCACAAAAAAAAAAAAAAGAATATGGATTAAAAGTTGAACTCTACAACTATGATACACAACTACAAACTGGGGCTTTGGGGAGAAAAAAAGAAAAAAGAAGAAGATTGGCAACAGATGTTAGCGCAGGGCCAATCTTCCTCAAAAAAAAAAAAAAGCAAAGGAAACTTAAAAGTCCTTTAAAAAAAAAAAAGTTGAGAGTCACTGGACAAGCTGATATCAAGTGTTAGTCCAGTTAAAGCTCTGAAGATGCCACTTAGGGGCTGGCCCCATGGCGTAGCGGTTAAGTGCACGCGCTCTGCTGCTGGCAACCTGGGTTCGGATCCCTGGTGCACACCAATACACTGTTTGTCAGGCCACGCTGCAGCGGCCTCCCACATAAAGTGGAGGAAGATAGGCACGGATGTTAGCTCAGGGCCAGTCTTCCCCAGCAAAAAGAGGAGGATTGGCATGGATGTTAGCTCAGGGCTGATCTTCCTCACAAAAAAAAAAAAAAAAAAAAGTGAAGATGCCGCTTAGCAACATCTTCAAACCTCAGGCCCCTGCTAATTCCTTACCAGAGGGACAAGTACTGGAGGGGAGGCTTGCCACCCCAGGTCCCCCTTTCAGACCAGGCATCCCCTCTCTTAGCTAAGATGTGGGGCCTGGAGAGGCAAAGGAGGGAAGCCGTGGGGGCAGTGTGGAGGCGGCACAGAAGGGTCACATTACTGAGACAACCCTCTGGGGGTGTCTGAGAAGAACGCCCTCTGGAGTGCTGCCGGCCATGGAGGCCCACAGCCTCGCCCCAGGTGTAACTGCTAACCTGGCACCTGCGCCCAGGAGTTCCTGACTTGGTGTTGGGACTCACTGCCAGGCCCGAGGAAAAGCTCTGGTGGGAAGCTTCTTGAATGCGGGCTCCGTCTGGTGGGGGAGGGGAAGGTGGACTGGGGCGGGGGCTGGACAGTATTTTCAGATGTTAACTTTTTTTTTTAATTCCCTCTATTTTATTTTCCCCCTTGCCTTTTCTGTCCATTCAAGAGGAAATTGACCTATATTTTATTGCCTTGGGGGGGATACGTGGCAGGGAGGAAGCAAAATTTGCCTGCACGCTGTTTTGGGTTCTGTTTCTCAAAAGCCTGGGCCCTTAGGAGACTTCAGAGGATAGAAGAAGTAGAAAAACTGCAGCAGAATGGCTGGGAAAGCATGGGGGCGACAGGAACAGAATTTGCTACATAGTTTGCAGGGCCCAGTGCAAATAAAAATACGGGATCCCTTGTTCAAAAATTAGTAAGAATTTTAGCAACAGCCAAGCATTAAACCAAGCATGGGGCCCTTCTGAGCCTGCAGAGCTGGCCCTGGACAGGAGTGTCCCCCATATTAGAACAGAAGATTGTCCCTGGAGCTGGGGGCAGGGAGAGAAAGACCCACAGGATCTGGAGCAATGCGGACCTGGGGCCCACTCCCTGGCAGGACTGTGGGGATCCAGCAAGACCCCGGAAAGGAGAGTCTGGGAAGTGCACAGACTCTAAGCATAGGGTTCCCAGGCTCAGCAGATTTCTGGTCCCCAAAAGTGGCTGAGAAGCAACAGAGAGCATGAACTCAAAGGGATCTGCAGACAGCACAATGGGAGGGCCTGGTTCTGTGCACAGATGATGAATAGACAGAATCCCCCTAACATGCCTTAGTACTGTGTAAGACCCTAAGACCTGGAACAGAATGGCAGGGCAAGGCGGAGGCATGATGAATAATTGACATCAATTTTCAGTCATCCTAGGAGAATGAAGGCTTAGAGTCAGAGACTGACTCTCTTCTCATTTCACAAAAATGAAAGGGATGCTCTATTTCTGCCACACCTGGATTTGCGGATCAGGATTCTACCTGCCATTACTGAGGCTTAGCTCCAGGCTCATTCCTGTGGCCAAGTCTCAAGAGGGGTCAGATAAGAGGCCACTGCAGAGATCCATGTGAGAGACGAAGCTTGGACCAGAGTGGTCAGATGGTAGAGATGGAGAGAAGTATAGAGAATCCAGTGATCTTTAGGAGGCAAAAGTGACAGGACTTGGAGGGTATTGGTAAGAGAGGAAAGTATCATGAATAGCTCCCCATCACTGGCATGAGCAATTGGCTGGATGGAGGTGCCACTTCCTGAGATCAGGAGTAGAGGAGAAGAACCAGTTGGGGGGTAGGTGGGGTGGGTTGGGTTCTGATCATGTTGGATCCGAGAAACCCAAGGGAAGACGTCACGTAGGCAACTGAATACGTGATGTGAAGCTTAGAGAAGTCTGGGCTAGAGGGATAAATTTGGGAGTCATCAGCTTTGTGGGTGGTCATTGAATAGTGAGCATATGAGATTCCAAGGAAAACAGCAGAGAAAGAAGAAAAGAGGGCTTAGGCATAGCCTGAAGAACCCCAACACTGAAGGGGCAGGCAGAAGATGATGCACCTATAAAGGCAAGTCAGAGAGATTGGAGGGAGACAGGAGGGCGCTGGGTCATAAAAGGCAAGAGGAAAGAAGGAGGGAATGGCATGCTGCTGAGGGGGCAAATACATTGAGAAACTTAAAATGTCTATAGACTTGAGCAACATGGGAGTCACTGATGACTTTGGAAAGAACCATTTTGTTGGAGAGACAAGCTTGGAATTCCAAAAGGAGAGAGTGGAGGAGTGGAGCAGGAGGCAGGAAAAGAGAGATGAGGAGCACAGACTAAGCTCTGGTGTTTGGCTCTGAAGGGGAGAGAGAGCGGCCATTGCTGGAGCAAGAAAATGGAGGGACTGAGGAAAGTTGATTCAAGGCGATTCAAGTTGTTAATGTTTTTTCATTTTAACAGATTTACTGAGGCATAAGTAACATGCAATAAGCTGCTCATGTTTAAGGTGTAACAATCTGCAAAATTTTGACATATGAATGCACCTGTGAAACCATCACCACAGTCAGGAACCTATTCTTCATCCCCCGAAATTTCCTCATCCCCCGCCTCCTGCTCCCCTCACCCCCATTTCCAGGCATCCACTGATTTGCTTTCTGTTGCTATAGTTTGCATTTCCTAGAATTTCATATAAATGAAGTTTCATATAATTTTATCTTTTAAAAAAGTTACTCTTTTTTGTCCGACTTCTTTCATGCGGTGTGATTATTTTGAGAATCATCTAGATTGTTGCATGTATCAGCAGTGCACTCCTTTTTATTGCTGAGTAGTTTTATATCATATGGCTGTACCATAATTTGTTTATCCATTTACCTGTTGATGAATATTTGAGTTGTTTCCAGTTTGGGACTGTTACAAATTAAGCTGCTTTGAACTTTCGTGTACAAGTCTTTATGTGGACACGCGCTTTCATTTCTCTGCAGTAGATGACTAGGCGTGGAATGGTTAGGTGTATGTTTAATTTTTAAGAAACCATCAAACTGTTTTCCAAAATGGTTATACCATTTTACATTCCCATCAGCAGTGTATGAGAGTTCCAGTTTCTCCACATCCTTGCCAACATTTGGTATGAACAGTCTGTTAAATTTTCGACATTCTAATAGCTTTTCCTCCTTTTTCTACCCCTGTCTTATTTGGGGAGAGGATAATGAGCAAGGAAATGGCCACATGTTGGAAGGCAGAGGGAGAAGGAGAGGAGGATAAGGAGACAAAATCGGCCACACTCCAGGGCATCAACAGTGCCTTGATCAAGAGTGAAGTGCTTGTCTGAGTCTGTGCCCTGGGGACAAGCCCAGTCCCCGGCAAATGGCTGTTTGCTATGGATCATCTGGTCCACATGTTAGCTTACTGCCTTCCAGGCCAGGGCCCCAAGCATGAGACAAGAGTTCTACAGGGACCTCAGCTGTGGAAGGCTCCTCTCTGGCCATGGTGGAGTGGGAAAGGGGGAAGGCGGGTAAGGAGACTCATTCATTGCCCATGGGATCCTGGTTTCGCCCACACCCAGCGTAGCAAGAAAAGAATACCATTTCTCTGCCCGCCTGGGAGAAGACACGGGGTTGGGGTAAAGGAAGAGAAGTTTCTAGACCAAGTTTGCTCCTATTCCAGAGTGGAAATGGCAGCTTGTCCTACCAAGGAATCCATCCCGTTCAGCCCTAAGAGAAATATGTCCCCTCTATCAACTTGGCCGAGAGGTGTCAATATATAAGTATAGGGGGTAAGGAGGATTAAATCATGTCGGGGGCCTTCAGGAATTATGAACAAGTAAACTCTCTGTTACAATAATAGATTTTTAGTCAAAGCTAAGGCCACCTCTGAAGTCAGATATACACCCTGAGAGCACATGCAGGCCACTCATGATAAGTTTTGGGAACCAAGCATTTATACCCATAATGTAAGAGTGAAAAAGAACCCAAATTACTGTACCTGTAGCTGCTGGGAAGAACACCCCAAAGACAGTGAAAAAAGACTCCCCAGGGCTGTAATCTGGGAGAGTATTGTTCTGCAGCAGTTCTGGTGAATATCCAATAAAACCATGTTCTGAAATTATACGAAGGAGAGCAAAATGAGCCAACTGATAAGATACAGTGCAGGCTTCCCTACATTACAGTCCTATTTATGTAACGTTAAAAAGTAGGGGTGTGTGTGCATGTGTGTGTGTGTGTGTGTGTGTGTGTGTGTGGTGTGTGAGAGAGAGAGCGGAGGTCTTCCTTCCTTCCATCTTCCTTCCCACTTCTAAGGCTTGACTTTTATGTATCTGTATCTGTAAATACAGGTAGATGAAATGACATGAAGGAGAACAGTAGTTACCTCCGGGAAGGGGAGCATTTTCATTTTTTGCTTTATAGACTTCAGTACAGCTAAAATCTTTCAATGAGCATGTATTTATGTGTTTCCTTCTAATTTCAAAAATTAAGTTACCTCCCTGCTCAAAAACCTTCCCATGAGTCCCTATTAGCTACAGAACAAAGTCCAAACTTCTTAAGATGACTGTCAAAGCCCTCCACAACCTGGCAACAGCTCAACATCTCCTATTCATCCTTTGCCTTTCCTCTCCCAGTCACACCGTCACACAGATGACTCTCCCCAAGAACACCACGAATACCCATCCCTGTGTACCCTGCCTTCCAGACCCTTCTCCCACATCTCTAAGCATCAATATTGTGCTCACTCTTCAAGCCCATCTCCAATGTTGCTTCCTTTGGGCTTTACATGGACTCCCTATTCAGAATCAATTCCTCCTAACTGTCCTTGGCACCATGACTAGCCATGTTAGGTCTTCCCCCACCTAGACTCCTTGGGGCAAGAAATCCAGTCTTCCACATCTCTGTCCCCCAGAGTCAAGCACTGCACCCGGCACCCAGGAGGCAAGTGGCAAATATGGGTCACACTGAAAAGAATATTTCTCTTAGATCTCTTGGCTCTGGGCACATCTCACGTCTATGCTTTCAGTTTGACTTCTCAGAGACTGCTTTATAGCAGGAACACCTCAGATCTGATTTCTTCAAAGCATGTTAAACATTTGGTACATTGACTTTAATAAAATTTTTCAGGTGGTTTCAGTCCTACAGGCGCTTTTGTTCTTTGTCAAAGGAGGTCCCTTTGAATAGCATCTGTGGACACGTTAGTGGGCTGTGGAATTTTAAGATGTAAGTCAAGTGATCTTGGGCTCAGGAACACCCAGGACATCCAGCCTCTACTTTCGAATCTCATCTCTGAGAAGGAGCGGGTTTGTTCCTGTTAACTACAGTCCAAGAGAAGCCAATCCTGCTCCTTTTCCCTCAGTCCCCGCGATCATGGAGGATGGGCACTCAGCCATCACTCCTGAGGACCCCCAGGGCTGTGGGGACAGACTCTCCTGCCCGCCTGTCCTTCCCTTTCCTCAGGGCTTAGCTTCACCCTGAGCTTCCCTCCACGAGAGAGCTCCTGCTCGCTCACGAGTCCAATGAGATCGCCAGCGCTTCTCACAGCTTCCAAGATCCATAACTTCACAGGAAAAATATTTTTCAAAAAAATAATAAAACGAGAGCTGAGTGAAGCACAAGGCACCCTTGGGAGTCCGGTTGAGACTTAAAATCCTTGTCGATTGCTTTCTTTTGCCTGAACACAGAATCTGTCCTGGGACATGAAATCTCAAGGACTGTGCAACATTTCTGAGTGGTTTGGCATCTTCACAGCTGGTCCTCCCCTCATTAACAAAAAAGCAATAATAGCTAAGTTAACTTGAGTTTATCCGCTGGCTGACCCCACTGACTAGCCTTTCTGAGGAGAAAACCAGCCCAGCCTGCCTTGGAACAGAGCTCAGCCAAGCTGGAATGACGCACAGGTCTCAAAGCACATCTGAGCACGGGGCTGTGCGCACTGGGCAGGCAGGACATAAACACTTGATCAGGCTCCCTTGATCTCTGCAGTCTCTAAGGCGGCCCTGACTTAGGCCGGTATTTGGTCACCAGCATGAAAGGCTCTGCCCTGATCACCCTGAGGGTCAGAGGGGATTTCAGGTCTCAAAGATGAGTCACTGGGAAGCATTTTCTCTCCCTCTATCCCACCAACAAAACCCACAGATGAGCGAAGGAGTCACTTGGCTCACACGGGGGTCTGCGGAGGAGGCCTGCCTCGGTCCCCTTGCTCTGCAGGGCTGACAACGAATGCAGCCCTCACACACCCACAAGCATGTGCTCACACCTACATGACTGCTGACCCAGCCTCTCTTCCCAAGTCCAGTTCTCAATCTTTCTCAAGGAAATAATCTTAACTTTGAAAAGAACTTTATGGACAAAGATGTTTGTCAAGGCTTTATTTATAATAATGTAAAATGGGGGAGGGTCTAAATAACTATGGGGGACTAAAGTATTTTAAACACTCATAAAGGGTTTTTAGTACCACAGAAAACTGTCCATGTTACATATGATATATGTTAAGTAAGAAAACTAGATACCATTTACAGTACAAATACAAAAAAAAAGTTTTAATTTATACATGTAAGAAAAGACTAGTAGGAAACATACCAAAATACTAACTGTGGTTATCTGTATAATGCAATTATGGGCAATTTCTTTTTCTTTCTTTTTTTACGTTTATAGATTTTCCACATTGTCTTTAATGAGCATTATCGACTTATCATCAAAAAGTAACATCTTTTAGAAAAACATACAACAGCCCAAAACTGAAAGCCCACTTTCTCCAGACGGCTTTTCTATAAAAGAAGATCTTTTCGTTTTTTCTTTCCATTTATACCCTCCCTGCTTCTCAAAATGATTTCAGTGGTTTATGAGAAAAACGTAAGTAAGATAGGGCAAATGAAATAAGGAACAAAAAAAAAAGAAATTGAGCAAGAGAAGGGAAACACCCTCAGCCCACAGCCGCACCTCCATGGAACACAGCCTGAGGGCTCTGACTAAGGCTCTGAGGAAAGATCCTGCCATGATATCCCTCAAACTAGAATTCAAGCCCTAGAGAGACCATTTTATGGCTTTTTTGACCAAGTCCACTCAGACAGGGACAGAACCCCAGGCCCAGCCCTCACACAGGCCACTTTCCAACGATAAGAAGGGGTCCCAGAGGCCTGCATGGCCTCATTTCCTCTCTCTCTACCTTCCAAGGCCCTTGTGACTTCTACCCTGAACCCCCCACCCCCCACCTCAGGTCCCCAGTCCTGAGCCAGCACCCACAGAGGCTTGGCCCCACTGGCTTTCACCCTGATTCCTAGAGCCCCGGTCTCTGCCACACCCCAAACCTGGGGGTCCAGCCGGACCTTGAGCCTATGCAGAGCAGGTACCCAGGGCAGGCCCTGATGTCTCTGACTGGCTCGTCCCTGCTGGCTGAGGTGTGGGTGAGGTTAGCTGGTCACGTCCAGGGTGCAGGGCTGAGCTGACACCACATGCCATGCCCTCTTACAGTGGGTCTTGATGCCTCATTTGCTGACCAAAGGTTCTTAATTCTTCTAGTCATGGCCCTGTTTAAGAATCTCATGAGAGCTGTGGCACTTCTCCCCACAGACAGTACATTTTGCATACGATTTGGGAGTTCCTGGGCCTCTGAAGACTTTCTGGGGGGCATGGACCCCGAGGTTCAGGATCTCTACTCTAGGAGCTGCCTCTGCACCTGAGACTGTTCTGCCAGGCCCTGCATGCACCTACGGTGTCCCAAGCCCTGACTGCCACCACGGCCCTGCCTCAGAGTGGACAGTGACCCCAAGTGATGCAGCCAACAATGTTTCATACTCCAGTCCCTGCCAGGCAATGTCTCCACGTGCGCAGGGATGTGCGGGTCCCCCATGGACGTCACAGGGCAGCCTCTCTTCTGAACATAATGATGAGCAGCCATTTATTGAACACCTCCTACGTGCCAGCCACTGGGCACTAAGCCCTTTACAATGGCATCCTTGATCCTCACAACTACCCTGCAAGACCAGAGGGGAGGAAACCAGGCTCAGGAAGGTGCAGAATATTGTCCAAGGTCACACAGCCAGACCTGCCTGTATTACAGCCACGGCCTCTTCTCCAGGAGGCCGGTCCTCCCTCACAGAGAGATGCATGCAGCACAGGTTCCCTTCAACCCTATGAAACATGCCCCCAGAGATCACAGCATCTCCCTCTCTGCATCTGTGGGGGGCAGGCAGGGAGCCTCCCCTGTGGAATGCCACCCATCAGGGGTATGTGACCGGCTGGAGTTTCCACAGCTGGGAGGAGGCAGAGCCCAGCCTGGAGCTCAGCCTGCCTGAATTCAAAGTTTTCCATCTACCATACCATCCCTCTGTAATTCATCCCAGAAGTGTTTCCCCCGAGGCTTCTAAAACGTGTTTTTCCGCCTCTGTGGGCCTTTCGACTCCTCTGCTGGTAAAACGGAGAAGCTGGGCTGGGGCCCTCTGAGCTGACATCTTTCAATTCTGAAAGGCCTGGGATGCCCCTGCCTGCAGCTGCTGCAGGTGAATGTACCTGGGTTTGACCTACGTGTCTGTTTCTGTAACCACGGAAAGAAATACTTTGGTCCCATTTAAGCTATGTGCTTTTAGGAAGAACAAAGACAGAACAAGAGAGGGAAAGAGAGAGAAACACACCACAGCAAAACCCAGGCAAGAAAAGGCAGACGGATGGGGCTGGCCTGGTGGCATAGTGGTTTAAGTTGGTGCGTTCCGCTTCGGCGGCCCAGGGTTCACCGGTTCGGATCCCGGGGTCAGACCTACTCACCACTCATCAAGCCATGTTGAGGCAGCTTCCCATGTAGAAGAGCTATAAGTCTACAACTATGACACACAACTGTGTACTGCGGCTTTGGGAAGAAAGAGAAAAAAAAGAAGAGGAAGATTGGCAACAGATGCTAGCGCAGGGCCAATCTTTAAAAAAATAAAAAGGCAGAGGGAAAACACTGGAAGGTCTGTCTGCAGAAAGGCTTGACCTTTCCCCTCAGGATTCGGGTAACACGGCTTGTTGGGATGCCAACAGTGGGCTGTGGTTCTGCAGGGTCCACTGTCCATTCCCAAGGGCGCTGCTTGTGGGACCCCACCCACCTTGCCTCGGCCAAAGGCCATCAGCCTGGTC